GGACTGCCAGGACTAATTCCTGAGTGCAGAACCAGGTGTAACCCATGAGCATCACCACTGGGTGTGACCCAAAAAAAAGAAGAAGAAGAATATGCATTTCCCCAGTTGTGGTCCCATTCAAAGCTCTGGATTCTGTGCTTCTGAGGTGAGAATAGTTCACAGAGACTGTGTGGCCACAAGAGGTAGGTTATGTCTGCCAGTCTCGGTCTCTCTCTTTGTTGTCTGAGGAGCGAATGAAAGTAATTCCCTGCCTGCGTCATTTTACTAGGGGTTATAAAATGATAGTGTTTCTTTTTCTTTTCCCGAGAGTCGGGAGCATCAGAGCTCGTGGCCGGGGCCTGTCATGGTGTTGGCTTTGCTGCGACAGTTCTTGTTTTTCGGCCCTCTGTCCTCAGCTCTTGCGTGGCTTTCTTGCGTTGGGTGGGCCTCAGTTTCTTGCCTTATTCCACATGTTTCTTGCTCTAGGTCTGGGCCCAACCATTCCTGAGCTGCCTCCTTTCCCTCGGGGAGTGACACCTCCAGGCTTGGTTGTTCTATGGGTTGGTCATTGTTTTAGGACTTTGGGGCACATAGAAAGTCTTTTTTTTCTTTTTGGGTCACACTCAGTGATGCTCAGGGGTTACTCCTGATTCTGCACTCAGGAATCATTCCTGGCATTGCTTGGGGGACCATATGGGATGCTGGGAATCGAACCTGGGTTGGCCGCGTGCAAGGCAAATGCTCTACCCACTGTGCTATTGCTCCAGCCCCAAAAGTCATTTATTTTTTTCTGATAGAAAATGCTTCCTGCTTCAGTTCTGTCAGCAACGTTTAGAGGAATAGGGGTGGAGAAATGGCATGCACTGCACCTCAAGTCCTGTACCACAGGCCCTTCAAGCATCACTAGGGTCACCCAGGAGTCCCCCAAGCACCACCAGGCTGGCCCAGGTCCCCCTGGCACTCTCAGCAGTGGACAGGAGCTCTGGTCTTGCTTTCTACAGCTGCATATCCTTGTCTGTCCAGCTGCCAGACCTTTCCTCTTTAGTTTTGCTGTGGTGAGTGACCTGGAGGAGACAGTGTTGGCCACTACCCTTGGGAGAGGTTTCTCAAAGGAGGGGCTGGAGTGAGCTTGTGGAGCCCTGCCTGAGCACCTCCCTGTTCAGGTGCAGACGGTGACGCTCCAGAGAAAGTCTGTAACATGAAGGACCTCTGGCTTTCTCCAGCTGCAGACACGCATGAGGCCTGCAGGCTGCAAGTTACCTCTGTGGCCAGCAGAAAGTGGCACAGCCAGTGGACAAAGGCAGCCCCTTGCATGCATGTGGAGTGATGTTGGACCCCCTGAGCCATCTGGGCAATGCCGCCCTGTAGATTATACATCTGGGGGTTCTACTTGAGGCGAAAGAGCTACCGAGACTTTGTCTCAAAGGCAAAGGACAGTGTCAAGGGGGCGCCAGGCCCCCATACTTGTGATTGTTGCTTCTCTATTATGAGCAGTTCGCCTTGGCTCAGGCCTACTCTTCCCTCTAGGCAGTTACGTTAACTGAGTTTCCTGCCACCCTCCTGTCTCGCCCCTTGCAGTGCTCCATGGCTCATGCGTCCCCAGGGATACTCCCAATTCCCTAACTGTGGTGTGATGCCTGGGTTAAACTTCTCCTTGTGCTGCTTCTCCTGCATTGAGTCCCTGTCCGTCACCTTCTCCCCACTCTAGCCTGTGCCCTCCCCTATAGCTGGTCTGTGGGATTGGGAATAAAGGTTGTTAATTATTGCCTGGTTCGATAGCACAGCAAGTAGGGCGTTTGCCTTGCATGCGGCTGACCTGGGTTCGATTCCTCCACCCCTCTCGGAGAGCCTGGCAAGCTACCGAGAGTGTCCCGCCTGCATGGCAGAGCCTGGCAAGCTCTCCATGGCCTATTCGATATGCCAAAAACAGTAACAACAAGTCTCACAATGGAGACATTACTGGTGTCCACTGTAGCAAATTAATGAACAACGGGAGGACAGTGCAGTGTTGCAGATCTCCCTGTTACCTGTTCCATCCTGGGGAACATCTACTGGCTCCGAATGCACCAGGCCCACCCAGGGACTCCTGGATAGCTCTGAGTTTAGACAGAGAGCGTGTGCTGGGGTCTCAGGGTGGGAGGGAGAGGGGGCGAGAACAGCTGTCAACGGGGGTGGCCAGAGCTGGCATCCAGGGCTGTGTCTCATTTGCCTGTTTGACTCACATATGTGCCCCCACCCGACCAGCTCTGGGGAGAAGGGGGTCTCAGCCAGCAGGTGGGGGTTTCTCATGTCCGACCCTTCAGCCTGGCACACATAGGTGCCAGCCCAGGTCAGTGTCCCTGTGGTCGGGAACTTCCTCCCCGCCTGAAGAAGAAAGGAGAGACAGCTGCAGTGAAAAGCGCATACACAAGTCCATGAGTCCACGGGTTTGGGAATGGACCTTAGAGACACACCCGCGGGAACAGCTGCTGGATGAAGGGAGGGAAGTGGGTCCTCCATGACAAGTGGAGGGGGGGGTGTGTGAGTGGCACTAGCCCCACGGAGGAAGGCAGAGGCCACAGGTTGTGTGTGAACACCTGCCCGAGTGACAGTGATAAGGAATAACAAGCCCAAAAGCAACAGGCAAACAGACGCTGGGCACAGACCATGGTGGTCAGGAGCCAGGATGGGGTGGGGAGCAGAGGTGGCCGGGAACCTTGGCTTCCGTGCCGATTCTGTGCTCAGCGTCCCCATGACACTTCCACAAAGAAACCTTGGGCCTAGGCAACTCAGATAAGGAAGATACATACCGTAGTTTTGCTGGAAAGAAGAATCAAAATGTGTCAGGCCAGAGAGACAGCACAGGGGTTAAGGTCCCTGCCTGGCATGCAGCTGACCTTGTTTTGATCCCTGGCACCCCATGTGGTTCCCCAAGCACCCCCCCCCCCCCCCACCTCCCACATCACTCAGGCCCTCCCGGCACCACATCTTTGGACCCTCGCCTTGCTCTGTTGGCCGGGTCGGCTGAGAATTGCCTGAAAGGGCCCCTGGGCCAGCCAAGCCAGCGTGGAGCACGTCTAACCCTCCCCTTTCTCGGTTCTGACATCCATCCACAACTCCCAGTGGTAATGTGGTTAGAGCGCTCATTCAGTCCCCCGCACTCCCGTGGTCCTGGCCACTCACGGACTCTGCTCTCTGAGAGAGCAGAGTCAAACTCTGGCTGAGTTTGATCATGTCCTGTGCTGATGTTTGCTCTGTGGGGTCCTGCTGGACGCACCACAGCAGGCAGGATGTCTGTGCCCCGTGCAGAGATGCACGCAGCTTCCAGAGGCTTCCTACATGTTGGGGGGCAGGGAGGGGGAAAGCGGCGTGGGGGAGAGGGGGAGGTGGGCCTGATCGTGGTGGGCCTGCTGGTCAGTGCAGACAGTCTGTGGGCAGCCAGGGGAGCAGCAGCTGTTTTGACAACTCTCAGTGTATATCTGGGTGCTTTTCTTTCCCCTTTTGTTCACCCTCCAAACTGTGGAGCCTGCCCACCCCGACCCCCCCCCCCCCCCCCCCCACACACACACATGCACACGCAGACTCACACGAACGTGCTTGTTCTCCGCTGTCTCTTCCATCATAGATGAGCTCATTGTGACTCGGAGCCAAAAGCAGCTCGTTCCCGTAACTTTCAATCTTTAGGCTCCGTTTGTGCCTGTCCTGCGTGCCTCGTGGAAGGTGGTCAGACTCGGCTCACTGGGCATCTTAGAGCAAAAATGTGGACGTACCCCAGGAACTTTGTCAACCATGGACAGGCCTAGTTCTTAGCCTGCCTGTTCTCACTTATTTTAGATTTATCTTTGCTTTTGAGCCCACAACCTGGAGCGTGTTCAGAGTTTGAGTTTTCAGCCTCTCGATTAGTTGTTGGGGCTTGCAGAAACTCTCGGCCAGGTTGCTGGCTGGGTGATGGGGGGTTTGACCCCCGGGAAGGAGGGGGGCTTGGGCCAGCTCCTGAGGCCTGGGCGGAGATGGGTGTGCCAAGGGAAGAGGCCATGGCGGTGGCAACCCGAGGGTGGGGCCTTGCTCTTACCCTGAGTTCAGATGCTGCAAGTGATCAGCCATGTTTAATAAACCCAGTTAAAATTGTTTTTTTTACTTATTTATATTGTTTATGATAATTTATTTACCGAATGTAGCCTGCCCACATGGCAGAGTCTGGCAAACTCCCCGTGGCGTACCCAATATGCCAAATACCAGTAACAATGATGGGTCTCATTCTCCTAAAGAGCCTTGAATATAATCTCAGGGCTAGGATGAAGGAGACATTACTGGGGCCTGCTCAAGGCAATTGACGATTAACAGGATGATTTGTGATCTGTGATTTTGTGATGATAATTTATAACATTTAATATTCAAACACCAGTCCCGCCGCCATTGAACCTTCCCACCACCACTGAATATGGTTTTTAATCAGTTTTTGAAATGGAATCACTTTTTAAAAGTGATTCCGTTCATTTAACGTTTTTAAAAAGATTTGTGCTTGCTTTCGTTTTGTTTTGGAGTCACATCTGACTGGGAGTACAGACCAGGGCATGGTTGGGAAAAAATGGTCTCGTAATGGCTGTACCCGATCTTTTTGCCAACAAACTCTTTTTTTGGCCTAGAATCTGTGACGGTTCATACAAATAGATGAAGAAAAGAGGGCTGGGAGCAATAGCACAGGGGAGGACATGTGGCTGGCATGTGGCTGACCTAGGTTTGATCCTCAGCATCCCATACGGTGTCCTGAGTTCACCAGGAGTGATTCCTGAGCACAGAGCCAGGAGCAACCTTTGAGCATCGATGGGTATGACCCAAAAACCTTAAAAAAGAAAAAAAAGAAGCAGAGATTTCAGGTTCTACCTGGAACCATGGCACGTCCCTGTGATTGGTTCTGAGGAGTGTGTGTGTGTGTGTGTGTGTGTGTGTGTGTGTATGCATGCGTGCACATGTGTTATATGTGTGCAAGGTTGAATGTACAGCTCAGTAGTCATCATTTCCTCCTTTCTTGTCTTGTTCAGGAACATTCTGAAGACGATTGCACTGGGCCAGATGCTGTCGCTGTGCATCTGTGGCACGGCCATCACCAGCCAGTACCTGGCTGAGAGGTTTCGGGTGAACACGCCGATGCTGCAGAGCCTCACCAACTACATCCTGCTCTTCCTTGTCTACACAGTGATGCTGGCCTTCCGGCCAGGTACCAGGGCCAGAACTTTCCAGCCCATTATTGTTATTATTTTGATTTTGTGTGTGGGGAGGGGGGGCGGGGGGAAGGCACACCTGGCTTTGCTCAGGACTTACCCTGGCTCTGTATTCAGGGATCACTCCTGGCAGTGCTCATAGGGGATGCAGGGGCTCGAACCCATGTCTGCCGCATGCCAGGCAAGCACCTTCCCTGTTGTACTGTCGCTCCGGCCCTCCAGCCCACTATTTTCATCGTATACTTGATTTCTAGACATTAAAAAAAAGCAAATCAAAATGTGGGCCCACAGCTATCAGTGCCAGGAGGAGCCCCTGAGCACCCCCGGGAGTGGCTCAATCCTTGCATAGCTCCCAATGCTCCCCCCACAAAACAATAACAAAGCTAATAACCAAAACACCCTGGCCAAATCCAGAGCCAGGGATGACAGCTGGTTTAAGAGAAGGGTCAGGGCGAGCTGTCCTGGGAAGGGCTGAATCAGGCCAGTGCGGGTACTGTGGGTGCCAGATGCTGACAGAGGGATTTGTCACAAACACTTTTCAAATGGGGAAACTGAGGCACGCAGTACTTGCCTCCTTGCTCTCGAGGGAACAGAGGGAGTTCCAGGGGGGTTGGGATCACCCCCCCCCACCCCCACCCCCAGCAGCTTGTGCTCTCGGCCCTCCCGTATAGGGTCTGCTCTGTGTGACTCTGTATGACAATCACTGAATCCCACAGCAGACAGCTGGGTCTAAAGCAGTGAGTGAACTTGAGTTTTGGTGCGGGAAGGCAACACTGACCAGGCCATCAGGGAGACCAGGGGCCAAGGCCCTTCCATTCTCTCCCTCATTGGGGTTGCTAATGGGATGGAAGTACCTGCTGGTACTTGAAGATTGTCCGGTTCTGATTCTCTCCACCTTTATTTCCTTGGTCTTCCTTGCCCTAAAGCCTTCTGTCATGCTAGACTCTCTGAAGAAGTCAATTTGCTGTTATCTTGAGTCAGTAGAATCTGGGGGTAGGCTGTGTTTCTTCAATGGTGTCCCTAAGTCTTTCCCAAGCTGATCATGGACTTAATTTTCACTTGAAAGCACATTTCTCGCACAGAAAATGACCTACAGACCTTCTTGTAAAGGTCCTGAGTAGAGATCAGGTAACCAAGGAATTCCTGAGAAAGGTAATTCATTTATTACCCGGGATGATTCATTTCCCGGGATGATCCGTTAGGAAGGTGATGCCCAAACCCATGTCTGTTGGTCCTGCTTTTTTATGCTTTTTTTTTTTTTTTGGGTCACACCCGGCGATGCTCAGGGGTTACTCCTGGCTCATGCACTCAGGAATTACTCCTGGCAGTGCTCGGGGAACCATATGGGATGCTGGGAATCGAACCTGGGTCGGCCATGTTAGCTGCATGCAAGGCAAATGCCCTACCTGCTGTGCTATCGCTCCAGCCCCAGGTCCTGCTTTTTTATAACAACCACTTTCCAGCACTTTCCCTGTGTTGCTTTCATTGAGCAAAGACCTGCAGGGCCGTGGCTTGGATCTCTCTAGAAAGGGGCCTGGCTGCTGGAGTTTGGGTTCTGTTGGGGTGACAGCAGCCGGAAGGCAGAGGAGACCTTTGCTTTGCCAGGTCTTTGTATGTGAATGAGTGAATGAACATGTAGATACCACACGCACTAACTCCGGCTTCTTTCACCAGACAGCGAAAACCTTCTGTACATCTTGAAAAGGAAGTGGTGGAAGTATGTCCTTCTGGGCTTGGCAGATGTGGAAGCCAATTACCTGATTGTCCGGGCGTACCAGTATACGACGCTCACCAGCGTCCAGGTAGGTGAGAGCCAGCCCCCGGCCCACTTTGGATTCGCAGCACCAGGAGGAGACTCTGACTTTCGAACCCCGTTCGTGGGAGAGCTGCTCACTCAAAGCACACCTGCACGCAGGTGCCTGCTGTCTTTGGAGAAGCAGATGCGCTAATGAGCAAGGTTTCCTGCAATTCGTGAAAACAGAGCCAGCTAATCGGTCCCCACTGCTCTTGCGGCAGCAGATTAGAAATGCTTCCACCAAAACAAGCGTAAATATTTAGTTAGCGATTGATTCTGTGATGCTGGCAAGGTGCTTTTTCCTGGGTTACCCTCGTGTGCTGTGAAGTGGGGGTTTGTAGGAAAAACTCTCCGAAGTCACGTTGCTAATGGAAGGGGTCTTTGGGGATGGAGAGGTTGCTCACAGAACTTACCAGCTTGTCCTTTGGGAGGCTTCTCCTTGCTGGAGAGAGCGAGGTTGTGTTTTTAGTTTTGTTTTGTTTTTGTTTTGGGTCCCATCCGGCGATGCTCAGGGGTTACTCTTGGCTCTGCACTCAGGAATCACACCTAGTGGTGCTCGGGGGACCCTATGGGATGCTGGGAATTGAACCCAGGCCAGCTGCATGCAAGGCAAGCTCTCTCCCTGCTGTACTATCACTCCAGCCCGTGTGTGTTTCCATATAGAAGCACTCTCCCAACTGGTGTCGTTCTGACTGGGTGGCATACTGACCCATATTCCAGCAGGGACTCTCTGTCAGCACTGTCTAATGCCTCTGGTCAGGGCTGGGCAGCTCAGCATAGCGACTGACAACTTTCTCAGCTTTACAACATCACACGGAAGAGGCTGAAATTGCGTACTGCATTCCAGGGTCATCAGAAAACGGAGGTGAAATTAGCTTTATTTCACTTGCAAAAATATACAGAGATCACGACACAGAATTTTTTCCAGTGCAAATAAATATTCACACAATGGCATTCATTACCAGAATGCATTTTTGTTTTGTTTTGTCTCAGTTTGGGGCCAGAATGCATATTTATGAGCGACCTCCCTGTCTGGGGTCTTGTGTTAAGCATTGTTCTCAGCCAGTCACTTGGGTTTTGACTCCAAAAGTCCAAAGACAAAGATGAGGGGACTGGCTCTGGGTGGGGTCTGCAGGCCTTGCATGTGGATGTACCCTGAGGGGGCCGCAGCCCATTGCCCCCCTTCCCCCCCATCCAGCTGAGATAGCAGCTATTTATTAAGACAGAGAGCAGAAGGGGCTCATTTCAGATGATCTCTGTCAAAGTAAAAGCCTGATTTCCTAGAGAATGAAGCTTGCCACCCATAGAATCAAGTGTCCCCAGCGGCATCAGCACGTTGCGAATGGCATTCGTGTCCTTACAGTTTGTGTCCTCACAGTTTCTCGTCCTGTCTCCCACACAATTTCGTCACTTGATGAAGATTTCCAGAGACTTTAATCTTCAGTTAATGATTATTATGAGTTTTAGGTTGTGCCAGTCATCACATTTGGGTTTTGGTGGCTGAAATTTGAGCCTGTGCTTTTGTAAGGGGGGGGTGGGGCTGGGGTTTCCTTCCCAGCAGCTCAGGGAGCCCAGGGCTGCTCCAGCAATACTCAGCAGTGTTGGGATTTGAGCCCAGGGCCTCTGCTCTCCAGCCCTTCAACTACCTCCCTGGCCCTACCCTGTACTTTAAGAAAAAAAAATTTTTTTTTCTTTTTGGGCCACACCCGTCAATGATCAGGGATTATTCCTGGCTCAGCACTCAGGAATTATTCCTGGCGGTGCTCAGGGGACCATATAGGATGCCAGGGATTGAACCCAGGTCAGCTGCATGCAAGGCAAGTGCCCTCCCCGCTGTACTATTGCTATGGCCCCATCCTGTACTTTTGGAAATAATTTTCTCCACCCTGGCCTGTTGGGAAAATCTAGGCATTTGCTTGTCAAAGTTCATGCTGAGGATCCTCATGGACTCCTCCTGCAGTGCTCTCTGATTCAGGGTGCTTTGATTTGAACATATTGTGAGTGTTTTTGGACCATAGCTGGTGGTGTTTGGGAACTCCTGGCTCAGAGCTCCAGGGCTGCTCCTGGCGGTGCTGTGGGGCCACAGCCCTTATGCCCCTCCTCGGCTGCTATTATTATTTCACTTGATTTTCTGGATCATACTTGGCGGTGAACAGGGGCTACTTCTGGGTGATGGGGGCACCCTGTACTGGGAGCCTGAGCTGTTGTCCCCTAAGCCTGTGCATCACCCCATCGGAATCTCCCGCCTGGCCCCCAAATTTTAATTTAAAAAATATTTTTGAAAGTTCTGAGGAGATCCTGGGCCACAGCTATCGTTTTGAAAGATGAAAAAGGAAGACTTTGGAAATGGCGAGGTCAGCCCTCTGCGCATGCGGGCGAGGCCTTCATGTGACTCAGGATTGGACACAGTGCTGTTGCAGGAGTCAAGGCTAGTTGAGCCGGGGGCACCCACGCAGGCTTGGACGTTTGCCTTGCACACGACCGACCTGGGTTTGATCCCCGGCATCCCATATGGTCCCCCAACCCAAACACCACCAGGAGTGATTCCTGAGTGTAGAACCAGGAGTAATCTCTAAGCATTGCCGGGTGTGAAATAGAAAGCCAAAAAAAAAAAAAAGGAATATGGGGAGTTAGGGATGGAGAGCTGGTGAATGGCAGGTTGACAAAGAAACAAAAAAGGCCCCCAAAAACACCCACAAAGGAGTGATCTGGATTGTCTGACTCTGAAATGTCTGACCTTCCTGAAATGGCCATTCATCGTCCACCCAGAATTGTTTGTTTCGTTTTTCATTTTAAAGAACAAATTGGCATTGGTTTGCATCTGTGATCATTTTCTGAGCCGCCTTCGCTTCTCTGTAAGGTCAGGAACGTAGCCCAGACTTTGTTAAGTCATCAGAGCTGGATGCTGTCTTCTGGGACGGGCTGTTACCCATTCGAAGGTTTGTTATGCAGGCAGGCTCAATAAAGCACTTAGGAAATGGGCGGGAACAAGGCAGGGTGCCCGGGCTGTGCAGGGCATGGGGCTCCACGGGCTGTCCTGGGTAGAGGCAGCAGTGGAGGGAGCTTAGGGGTTTGTCGGAGAATGAAGGGGCCCTGAGGGAGTCTGAGGGCAGTCACAGGAAGGGGGGGACCCTCAGAGAGGCCCCTTGAAAGCTTCTTACCCTGGGATGCGCTCTATAAGCCTGTTGAGGGTGAGAGCCGGTGGGAAAAGGCAGAGGAGGAGCATGAGTGCTGAGCCCTCTGCGGCAGAGTTTGGGTGTGCTGTGATGTTTTGTTTTGTTGGCCTTTGTAGTTCCCTCATGCAGCCTGGAGGGGGAGGGGTACTTCCTGGGCTTGGGTCAAAGGTGAAGCTTTGATGCTTTTGAGGGCATTTGCTGTGAGCCCCTGCTGTCCCGCCCAGTGCATCATATCAGGGAGGGGGTGTTGGGGTTTTCTCTGAGTGACCCACACTTAGTCCTGATTCCCAGCCCAACTGCCTGTCTCCACCCCCACCCCTCCTGCCTCCCCTGGGCCCAGGCTCAGAACCAAAGACTGGCAGAATCCCTGCCTCCTGGGCCAATGGGAGAGCTCTGGTGGGCTGCAGAGAAAAGCTGCACAGACCCCCCCTTCCCAAGACAGAATTCCAGGGATTCAGCAACTGGCCATGCTTGGGGCCCCTGCAGCGGCAGGGGTCAGCGCCATGGGCTGTGCCAGGGCTGCCTTCTCTCCCCGTTGAACCATGTGAGCTGGACCTGGGTGTTCTCGTGTGAACAATGGGGTGGAGGTTCAGATCGTATGAGGTCATCGTGGATGCTGATGGTTTCATCTCTGCACTGTGCTCAGCCACAGGCTGGTCTCTTGTTGGGTACTGGGCTTTATTAGTACTGATCTGGCTCTGTGGTCAGTGCTGGGTTGACCCCGTGGTCAGTGCTGGGTTGACCCCGTAGTCAGTGCTGGGCTGGCTCTGTGGTCAGTGCTGGGTTGACCCTGTGGTCAGTGCTGGGCTGCTCTGTGGTCAGTGCCAGACTGGCCTCATGATCGGTACCTGGCTGGCCCCATGATTGGTCAGTGCTGGGCCGGTCCTGTAGTCAGTGCTGGACTAGCTCCATGATCAGTAGCGGGCTGGCAGACATAAGCATTCAGCCCACACCGATCCTCGGGCTCCCACAGATGGGTGCTGATGGGCACTGACGGGTGCTGATGGGTGGTGATGGGCATGGCTTCTCTACAGCTCCTGGACTGTTTTGGGATCCCCGTGCTGATGGCGCTCTCGTGGTTCATCCTGTATGCACGGTACCGTGTCATCCACTTCGTGGCCGTGGCTGTGTGTCTGCTGGGTGTGGGGACCATGGTCGGTGCGGACATACTAGCCGGAAGGGAAGACAACTCAGGTAAGGCTGTGCTGCCCGGCCCAGGTGTGTCCCTCACTCTCCTCACCTCCTCTCCTGCCCTTCCCCCTTCCTCCCCCAGCCCCTCCTTCACCCTTCCCCCCCCCCCCCCCCCCCCCCCCCCCGCGCGCAAGCTTTCACACACACACACACACACACACACACACACACACAAACACTTGTGTTTTTGCTTTCATTTTGCACAGATAAGAGTAAAAGGTAGAAACCAAGCCCTGGCTGGCAGCTTGAATTTGATTCAGGGTCAGTGGCTTCTGTTGTCTGGTGGCCACGCCACAGAGCTGCTCCATGGCCCCCCCATCCTGTGCCCTCCGGCCTGGGTCTTTTCTGTGGCCTTCAACAGTTTTGTCTCACAGGAGATGTGAGGCCCCAAAGCAGACTCCTCAGAAGCCATGACAAGCTGCAGCTAACATTAAATCTCAACTAGTCCTCAGTTTCTGTTTCCCCAAAGCAGGGCTTGCAGTTTCTGGTAAACTCCCCGTTGAATAATTTGCCAAGATTGGGTCTGGCCGGTCATGAAGGGTCACTGTGCCCTCCTTAGAAATTATTGCTAACCATTGCCTAATTGCTGACCACCATTGTAATAGGGCCAATGCTAAAAATAGACAAGTATTTAAATTGCTTCTTAAGTCTGAACCCTATATAAACTGCTTGTGATTTGGAGTCAGGGTCCCTGTCAAGATTTCACTGCATTGGATGAGACTTGGACCCTGGCTCGAGCTAGTGCTGGCTCAGGCTAGTAATAAAGTCCCTTTGCTTTTGCATTTTCTGTGTGTGGACTTGGTCTCTCCGCAATTGGGGATCTGAAACTAGGGAACAACAGAGAGAAGCTTCCTCCTCTAGGTAGAGTCATCCTTGTCCCCTCGTCCACTGGGGTCAGCCACTGAAAACCCCACCATGTAGTCTCAAGTTTCAGGTATTTTTATTTTTTTACATTTTGGGTCACACCTGGTGTTGCTCAGGGGTTACTCCTGGCTCTGCACTCAGGAATCACTCCTGGCGATGCTCGAGGGACCATATGGGATGCTGGGAATTGAACCCAGGTCGGCTGCGTGCAAGGCAAATGCCCTATCCGCTGTGCTACATCACTCCAGCCCCAAGTTTCAGTTTTTATTGAGAAGGAGACTGCATGGCATGAGTGAGCCCTTCTAGCTCACGAGCTGGGGCTGTTGGTGGACAGACCTGGGCTCCAGTAACTGTCCCGTGGAAAGCTCCCCTGCCCTCACTTCCTTTCTTCTCTGGGGTCCCCACACCACCTAGATCCCCTTCCATCAGGGAGTCACTGTCCCCGCTCTCGAGCCTGGCTCATAAGGAGTTCAATGAGGAGAAAATGAGGAGAGGAAAAGTCCTTCTAGGTCAGGTGCTCCCCAACCTGCGCTTTATGCCCGTCTTCCTGCAGGGAGTGATGTGCTCATCGGAGACGTCCTGGTCCTGCTGGGCGCGTGCCTCTACGCCGTGTCCAACGTGTGTGAGGAGTACATCGTGAAGAAGCTGAGCCGCTGCGAGTTTCTGGGAATGGTGGGGCTGTTTGGGACCATCATCAGCAGCATCCAGCTGTAAGGAGTGACACAAACACATCTGGGACGAACTCCCATTCACGGGTCTTTTGGGAGAAGCAGCGGCCAAGAAGCCTCCTTCCCAGGGCTGCGAGAAGCAGGAAGGGCCTGGTGGGAAGGCTTGACTTCCAGCTCAGGGGAAGTGAGTTCCACGCCTGGTCTCCATGACTGATGCTGGTGCAGAGCACCCCCACTGTGGCGACCAAGGATAGCTGGTCTTCTCCTCTCAGAAGGATCCCCAAGTTAACGTAATTCCCCACCTTGGCCAAAGTCACTGTCATGCTCATGGGCGCTCTCCACATACTTGGGCCAAACCTCGCCCATGAGTGAACCTATTCCTGTCCAACCTAGTCCAAGTATGACATCTCATACCTCACATCACTCATACTCCAAGAGTAGTATACCACATTTAACGGAGTTTAAAGTAGAAGGCAACAAATATTAGAGGGAAATATATTCTTACATATATATATATATATATATATATACATATATATATATCTGTCACTGTCATTGTCCTCCGTTGTTTTTTGATTTGCTCGAGTGGACCCTGTTACATTGTGAGACTTGTTGTTAATGTGTCTGGCATATCGAATATGCCACGGGGAGCTTGCCAGGCTCTGCCATGCAGGCGACATATTCTCGGTAGCTTGCCGGGCTCTCTGAGAGGGGCGGAGGAATCGAACTCAGGTTGGCCAGGTTGGCCGCATGCAAGGCAAATGCCCTGCCTGCTGTGCTATCGCTACAGCAGTGAAAATACTTGTAAGAGGACCCAGGGGTGTGGCTGGGCAGGAGACAGCTGTGTGTACGTATGAGACCCTGGCTTCCGTCCCGCCACCACACAGGAAGTTAAGAACATGCTTCTGAGATATGTGCGTGAATCCTGATTCCTCCTGATTTCCTCCTAGGCTTCTCGTGGAGTACAAGGATGTGGCCAGCATTCCCTGGGACTGGAGAATCGGTATGTGGAGCAGATTCTCTCTGCTCAGCACCCTGCCTTCCAACTCACAGAGCGCAGGCTGAGAAGGAAGCACTTGGAAAAGATTTCATCAAAAAGGCTAGAAGCATTTTTGTAAAACAGAAGAGACAGAATGCAGGAGGAAAATGTGGGGAAACAGAAGGAAAGATTTGTTTGGTTTGGTTTTTGCTGTTTTGTCTTTTGGGACCGGCCTGGTGGTGCACGTGGGGACCATATGCGGTGCCAGGGATCACACCAGAGCGGGTCACATGCAGGGCCTTAACCTCTGGACTTCTCTGAGGCCCATCAGGGAAATATTTAAATTTTACTTAATGATGGCTGGAAAGCTGTCCAATGATTAGATCATTTTAATTCAATTTAGATTGTGTGTTTGTGTATGAGTACATGAGTGTGTGTGAGTATGTGTGTGTGAGTATGTGTGTGTGTCTGTGTGCGTCTATGTGTGTGAGTCTGCATGTGTGTGAGTGTGAGTGTGTGAGTGTGTATGTGAGTGTGAGTGTGTGCATGAGTGTGTGAGTGCGTGTGTGTGAATGCATGTGTGTGTGAGTGCGTGTGTGAGTGTGGCGTGTGTGAGTGTGATGTGTGTGAGTGTGATGTGTGAGTGCATGTGTGTGAGTGCATGTGTGTGTGTGTGTGTGTGTGTGTGTGTGTGTGTGTGTGTGCAGGCAGAGGCACTGCTACCCAGTTGGCATCCACACAGCCACTCTGCGCGGAGAACAGCCAGGCTGTGCCATCTGGGGGCACTGAGGGAGCGGGAGAACGGTAATAGAATACCCAGCTGCCTCCGTGCCCTTGAGGAGACTTGATTCTGAATTCAGTGACACAGATCATGTCCAACCACTATCCTGATCAACAAAAGACTTTTCTTTTTTCCTTTTTTTGGGAGGGTGCTGGGGGTAACCACACCAGGTGATGCATTCAGGGGTCACTCCTGGGGGTGCTCAGGGGACCCAGTGGGGTGCCGGGGATGGAAGCCGGGTCAGCCATGGGTCCGGCAAGCTCGCTCCCTGCTGTGCTGTCTCCATGCCCGCGCTCACCCGCCCCCCCTTGCCTCCACAGCGCTGCTCTTCGCTGCCTTCGCGCTCTGCATGTTCTGCCTGTACAGCTTCATGCCGGTGGTGATCAGAGTCACCAGCGCCACCTCAGTCAACCTGGGCATCCTGACCGCCGACCTCTACAGCCTGTTCTTCGGACTCTTTCTGTTTGGCTATAAGGTAAAGCAAATGGATCCACCCATAGAACACTGGCTTGCTGCTACAGGCCCGGGAACAAAACCTCACCCTTGGGCAAGAGTGCCAGTGTCCCTCCTGGTGCACCTGCTCTAAGTGAACCAGCCATGGAAGTAGTGCTTCTAGGCCCTTTCTGTTTTTTTAAGCTGAAGCGATAGCACAGCGGGTAGGGCGTTCGCCTTACAAGCGGCCAACATGGCCGACCCGAGTTCGATTCCTCCGCCCCTCTCGGAGAGCCCAGCAAGCTACCGAGAGTATTCGATATGCCAGACACAGTAACAACAAAGTCTCCAATGGAGACGTTACTGGGCCCGCTCGAGCAAATCGATGATCAACGGGAGGGTCTTTACCTTTTACCTTTTATTATTAATTTTTTAATTTCCCCTTTATACTTTATCTATACACTGTGGCTTACAAAGTTGTCCGTGATGATTTGTTACAGACATTCAGTATTCCAACCCCAATCCCACCCCGTCCCACCTTCCCTCCGCCACTGTCTCCAATGTCCCCAGCCACGTCAGGGCCTGCACCCTGGCCAGTCCTTTCTGATCCTTCTGCTTTGTTCCTCTTTGTCCTTCCAGAAACTGTCTCCCAACCTTGACTTTACCCAGATAGGGTTTTATTATTCTTGGCCAAAAGCCATTTCCAAGACTTCCAGAGCAAAGGGCAGGTCTGCTGAGATCTTCAGAGTAGATCAGGAAGTTAGAAAACCTGACCAGTACACAGATAATCCAAGCACCTTAGGGCTGGTTTGTAAAGGCAGAATTCTAAGGTCACATGCCTTTTTTTTTTTTTTTTTTTTTTTTTTTTTGGTGTTTGGGCCACACCAACAGTGCTTATGGCTAACTCCTGGCTCTGTGCTCAGGGGATATTTGTGGTGCCGGGAGCAAACCTGGGTCAACTGCAAGCAAGGCAGCTCTCTGCCCCCTGGACTATCTTTCTGGCTCCACCACGTGTGTGTGTGTGTGTGTGTGTGTGTGTGTGTGTGTGTGTGTGTGCGTGTGTGTGTTTTCAGTCCAAGAATAGAACTCTGGACCCCACACCTGCAAGGCAAGTGTTTTCCCACTGAATCATATCCATGTGGCCTTGTCTACCACCAGTTTAAAATGTTTTGATAAAGAAACAATTTTATGTAGATTTTGTTGCTTTTTGATATTTGGGCTACACCTGGTGATGCCCAGGGCTTACAGCTAGCTCTGCACTCAGAGATCACTCTGTGGTGCTTGGGGAGGATGCCAGGGATTGAACTTGGGTCAGCTGTGTGCCAGGCAAACACCCTACCTGCTGTACTATCCTTCCAGCCCCGCAAAACAACAATTCTAAATAACTTTGGCTGTGCTATTTTATAGCAAACAGCTAAAAATGAAAAGAAAAGAGGCTTAAACTGTCTGTTCTCTCTGGTATGGGCTCTGCCCCTCTGGCAGTGTTTCTGAGGAAACACTGGCCACAAAGTAGCCCTAGGTAACGTCAGGTGGAGATCCAGATGCAAGGGAGAAGTTTAAACAGGAAGGAGAGGTAAGCGCCTCTGATCCAGGTGCCTGACCTCCCATCCTGTCTGTCACTCCCTTCTAACAAAGCCGCCTGCCTTTGAGAGGGACTTTGTTAAAGGACAAGATGCCTTTTTCTTTTCCACGTCAACAGCCACCAAACCTCATAGGACAGGGCAGGTGAGCCCAGAGAGCGCTCTGCAGGAACCTGACTCAGCCGTGATTCTGTCTGCAGTGCCTCAGGGCATGCTGGACCCTTGTGATTTTTCCCTGATGGTGTCTGAGCCAGTTTCTAGCATTCCCTAAACACCCAGCTCTCCCGGGGCATTGTGTTCACTGTTAGATGCAAGAAGGAAAAACTGGCAGGAAACGAGTCTCGCTCAGTGAGACTCTTCCTGGCTTTATGGGAAGGAATGATTGTCCTGCTCTTGGGGGGCTGTTCTGTCCAGCCTGGAAGGGATTCTGGGGGGTTCTGGTAGAGAAAGAATGGGGCACCTGCGATATTCACAGAAAGGCTATGGTGGGCCCCTAGTGCCCCAACTGGGGGTGACCACAATCTCTTTTAAGATTCACCAACTCCTGCTTCCCTTGAGAGAGCATCTTTCCTTTTCTCTCCGTCTTCTCTTTTTCCTTTCCCACCCCTTTATGTTTGCTTTTTGTCTGCACCCCACTTAAGGCTCTCCCTGTTGGGTGTAATAGGAATCTAAAGGAACTAGAAATGTCTGTTGCTTTGCATGCAGTAACGCCTCCACCTTCATTTCAAAACCAGCTGAGCAGGGCCGCTTGTAGGAACTAGTCACTAGTAAATAATCGAGCCTGGATGTTAATTCCTCATTAACCATGTTCCGTCCCTTCCCTGAATTTTTTTTTTAAATTTTTGGTCACACCCAGCAATGCACAGGGGTTACTCCTGGCTCATTTCATGCACTCAGGAATTACTCCTGGTGTTGCTCAGGGGACCATATGGGATGCTGGGAATCGAACCCAGGTCGGTCACGTGCAAGGCAAATGCCTTACCCGCTGTGCTATTTCTACAGCCCTGTCCCCCCTTCCCTGAATTTTATGACATCCTGGTTGGTCAGTCCTAGGCTGTTTTCTTCTTGGTTTTTTATATATGTTTTTCATTCTGTTAGAAAGAAATGTAGGGGCTGAACAGATGGCATTGTGGGGAGGGCGCTTGCCTTGGAGGAAGCTGACCTGGGCTTGATCCCCTGAGTCCCACCACCGGTGATCCCCAGAAGCAGAGACCAGAGTCAGCCCTGAGAACTGCCGGGTGTGACCCCCAAACAAAACACAATTGCTGGAGCAGGGAAGTGGCTGAAAGACAGTGCATGCTTTGCTTACGGAGGCCAGGTTCCACCCCCAGGAAGTTCTGCTGGCTGTGGCCCTTGAGCACTGCTCCAGGAGTAGCCTGAGCACAGCCATATATGCTGCTCCACCCCCAGTCCACCCCAAACAATCACATCCCTAATGCCTGAGCTTTTGCCTGGTTCCTTGTTTCAAGAAAGCGTCAGTGCGCAAAGGGCTTTGTGAGACGTGATTGAACTTCAGGGCTGAGGTGAAGGAGAGAGATGGGGTGTCTGTGCTCTCTGAGATCCCATCTAGGGAGGGGCAGCCCGGGAAGGCAGCTGGCCTGCCTTAATCTCTCCATCCTGGCTCTTGTGGGTCCTGCAAGGAACAGGAAAGGGAGATGCCTGGAGGGCCCAGCCCATGCCAAGGGGCTCCTGGCCAGCAACCCTACTGGGCTCCAGACTCTTCTGAGGGAAAGAAAATGAGATGTAGATTTCCCCCAGATCTAAACATCCGTCTACACAGCCCATGCAACCTTATCTGTGTACCCCATAGCTGTGTACCTCAGTTAACCCATGAATCACAACAAAGTGAGTCCCCAGGGCAGAACAGTCAGGGTTGCTGGGTGCCTGGTCCCTGGTCCATTTCCCCCCTGACTTGGGGACAATGCTGGGTGCCACCCGGGCCCTCCTGAGGCCTCTACCCTCCCCAGGAGGGGGCCGGGTTACATCGCTGCTGGGGTCGGGGTATCTCCGAGGCTGTCAGTGCATGCAGGGAAACCCCCCCCCTCCACTCCCACCAGAGCGCAGGGCGCAGTGTGCAGCCCACACGCTCCTTCCAGGAAAGACCGTTGAGGCCTGGGGAGGTGGGGGCGCCGTGCCCACAGCCATTCCTCTGTCCCCGCAGTTCTCGGGACTCTACCTCCTGTCCTTCACCATCATCATGACGGGCTTCGTCCTGTACTGCGCCACCCCGACGCGTACCGCGGAACCCCCAGCCAGCAGCATCCCGCCCGCCGCCAGCATCGGTTTCGACAACCTGGGGCTGAAGCTGGAGGAGAGCCCGCAGGAGCTGCCCGCCGCCGTGGTGTAGCTGGAGCCGGCGCCCCCGCGCCCCGTGGGACCCTGGGGGAGCTGGGTGCGAGCAACAGGCGCTAACGGGACCCCGGAGATGGACCGCAGAACCTGGCAGCTGGGAAAAGGGGCCAGCAGGCCTTGGGGCGCCCCGAGGGGCTGCCTGGGCGCCCGGGAGGTGCTCGGAGCGGGGCTGCGGGGGTCCAGCCACAGAACGTGGCACACAGGAGACGCCGCGACTCGGAGGGGCCCAGGACGTCCGGGGACTCCCGTGCAGAGCCACCAATAGCACGGCTAACGTGTCAGCGCTTGGGGGCCACGCTCTCTGCCGTGTCCTAGAGGGGAGTGTGAGAGGAACTGAGGGTACGAGTCATGGGGATTAAAAGTTATGGGTTTTGTGGACACACAGCGCATGGCTTCTCTGATTCCCAGCCCTCCCCCTTGGGGGTTGGTCAGCACCTGACCTAGTCACCCTCCCTTCTCCAGCGAAGCTCAGGAGCTTCTATCCTGCAGGTCGGGCAGCTGTGTCTTTGCCACCCGCTGGAGGGGCTTCAGGTCAACTTGTAGGTCGGCTACAGGGAGAAGCATTTTGTGTATTTGGTTGTGGCCTTGGGGCCACACCTGCCTGTGCTCAGAGCTTACTCCTGACTGCGCTCAGAGATTACTCCTCTAGGTACTTGGGGACCCTCTGGGGTGCCGGGGAATGAGCCCGTCTTAGCCACGTGCAAGGCCAGCACCTTACCTTCTTGCTGTACTGTCTCTGGCTTCAGAATAAGCATTTCATTTCATTCTTACTTATTAATTTTTGTATTAAATACAGGAAGTTATACCTGCGATGCTCAGAGGTTATTCCTGGCTCTGCACTCAGGAATTACTCTTGGTGGTGCTCGGGGGACCATATGGGATGCCAGGAATCGAATCCGGGTCAGTCATGTGCAAGCCAGACTCCCTACCCATTGTACTGTCACTCTGGTCCGAGAATAAGCTTTTTAAAGTGCTGAATTTCTACATTTCTTTCATTACTTTTGGTAAAAGTTTTATTTTATTCTAAAATTTTTGTTTTATTTTTATGAAGTTGTTCTGTACTGTACTGTCCTCCCGTTGTTCATCAATTTGCTCGAGTGGGCCCAGTAACATCTCCGTCGTGAGACTTGTTGTTACTGTGTTTGGCATATCCAATACGTCACAGGTAGCTTGCCAGGCTTTACTGTGCGGGCAAGATACTCTCGGTAGCTTGCCGGGCTCTCCGAGAGGGGCAGAGGAATCGAACTCGGGTTGGCCACATGGCCGTACCTGCTCTGCTATTGCTCCAGCCCACAATAATTTATTACATTCAATATTCTTTTTTATTTATTTATTTATTTATTTTTTATTAGTGAAACACCATGAGGTACAGTTGTAGATTTACAATTTTTTGTGCTTGGGTTTGATTATACAATGATCAGATACCCTTCCCTCCACCAGTGCCCATTTTCCACCACCATGGATAATATCCCCCCCACCCCCATCCCCCATCCCCCCCTGCCTCTGTGGCAGGGCAATCCCCTGTGTTCTCTCTCTCCTTTTGGGTGTTGTGGTCTGCAAAAGAGGCTTTGAGTGGCAAACATGTTCAGTCCATAGTCCACTTTCGACATGTATCTCCCCTCCTGGGAGGGTCCTCCAAACACCCTTTATTTGGTGCTCCCTTCTCTGTCTGAGCGGCCCTTTCCTCTAGAATGCCCGACTGGCCACTAAGCTATGGAGTAATCCTCCTGGTGCTGATCTCAGCTATTCTTGGGTATTAATCTCATATTTTGTTACTTTATATCCCCCAGATGAATGCAATCTTTCTATGTCTATCCCTCTCTTTCTGACTCATTTCGTTTAGCATGATACTTTCCATGTTGTACCACTTGTATGTAAATTTCATGACTTCATCTTTTCTAACAGCTACATAGTACTCCATTGTGTAGATGTACCAAAGTTTCTTTAACCAGTCATCTGTTCTTGGGCATTCAGGTTTCTTCCAGTTTCTGGCTATTGTAAAGAGTGCTGCAATGAACAAACAAGTGCAGATGTCACTTCGACTATACATTTTTGCCTCTCTGGGATATATTCCCAGGAGTGGTATTGCTGGGTCAAATGGGAGCTCAATTTCTAATTTTTTGAGAATCGTCCATACTGTTTTCCAGAAGGGCTGAACCAGTCGACATTCCCACCAACAGTGAAGGAGTGTCCCTTTCTCGCCACATCCGCGCCAGCATCGGTTGCTTTTGTTCTTTTGAATGTGGGCCAGTCTCTGAGGTGTGAGATGGTATCTCATTGTGGTTTTGATCTGCATCTCCCTGATGATTAATGATGTAGAGCATTTTCTCATGTGCTTTTTTGCCATTCGGATTTCTTCTTTGAGAAAGTTTCTGTTCATTTCATTGCCCCATTTTTTGATGGGGTTGGATGTTTTCTTCTTGTGGAGTTTAACCAGTATTTTGCATATCCTGGATATCAACCCCTTGTCAGATGTGTATTCGGTGAATATCCTTTCCCATTCTGTAGACTGTCTTTGTATTTTGGTCACTGTTTCTTTGGAGGTGCAGAAGCTTCTTAGTTTAAGATAGTCCCATTTATCTATCTCTGTTTTCACTTGCTCGGCCAGTGGCATGGCATCTTTGAAGATACCATTTCATTTTCATTTCATCATCCTGTTAATCGTCGATTGCCTCGAGCAGGCCCCAGTAATGTCTCTTTCATCCTAGCCCTGAGATTATATTCACTGCTCTTTAGGAGAATGAGACCCATCATTGTTACTGGTATTTGGCATATTTGGTAGGCCACGGGGAGTTTGCCAGACTCTGCCCTGTGGGCAGGCTACATTCGATAGCCTGCAAGTTTGTCCAACTTCTACTTTGGACAAACTTGAAGATACCATTAGCTTCAATGTCATGGAGGGTTTTGCCAACTTTGTCTTCATACATTCAATATTCTAACACCAATCCCACCACCATTACACCTTCCCAACACTATTATTTCAAATTTTCCCAACCACCACCCAACCCTGCCCCAATAGCAGGCCCTAAATAACTTATTTTGTTTTACTTATGAATAATTCACTAGAAACAGTTTCCTTAAGAAGAAAGGGTGTGAAGATTGTTGTACCCCATCCGTTGTGTCATGCTACTCTGGGTGCATCCATGTCTATTCTCATTTTTGAGTGACAGGAAAATCTCTGCAGCCAGTTAAAACTGATGACTGGGGGCTGGAACAATAGTACAGTGGGTAAGGCATTTGCCTTGCACGCGGCCGACCCGGGTTCGATCCCCGGCATCCCATAAGGTCCCCAGAACACTGCCAGGAGTAATTCCCGAGTGCAGAGCCAGGAGTTACCCCAGAGCATCACCGGGTGTGAACTAAAAAGCAAAAATTAATTAATTAATTAATTAATAAAACTGATGACTGGTGGGGCCAGCAATACAGCTCAAGTGGAAGGGCATGAGCAAGGTCTTGGGGTGCTGGCACTGCCCTGCAGCCCCCACCCCCAGACCCTGTCAGTCGGTCTGTACAACCATTACTGACTGTATTGATTGACCACTGCCCTGTGGGGCCAGGGAGAGCTCGAAGGGTGGGAATGGCTGGCTGGGGTCCTGGGCTCCATCCCCAGCATCACTGGGCCCCCTGACACCACTGGTGTGGCCCTTACCCCTCCCCAAAGAAACAGTGCATGGCCCTTTGGGGAAGCTTTCAGCTGTACTGCACACTAGTTGTTTTGGAAAGCACAGGCTGAAGAATAAATGGGCATCCGCAGGGGTAATGGAGGCAGGGACACACTATCTGTTAGGGAGGGGCTTTCTCCACCCTGCAGGCAGGGTTGGGGGTGGGTGGGGGGTGTCTGTGCCAGGCTTGTCTCGGCTCCCTCACAAGCACTGGAGAAGCTCTGAGACTTCCTACCTGCCTAATGCATAGACCTGCCCTTTCTCCGTGGTTTGTGTCTGCCATGGCCCGTGTCTGCTGTGGCCCATGTCTGCTGTGGCCCTGTCTGCCGTGGCCCATGTCTGCCGTGGCCCCCATCTGCTCTGCTGTGGCTCGTGTCTGCCGTGGCCCATGCCTGCCGTGGTCCATGTCTGCCATGGCCAATGTCTGCCGTGGTCCTTTCTGCTGTGGCACATGTCTGCCACAGCCTGTGTTATCCCGTTCTGGTGTTATTCTGGTCTGGGTTATCCTGGTCAGAGCAGCTGTGGCCTGGCGTGTCCTCTTCCTGGCTCCAGCTTCCTGTCCTCTGCTCCTCAGGTACAGGTTAAAGAAACTTTGGTCCTCATTCAGACCATTTACAGGCAACCACATGGAAAACCCCGCACTCTCTTGTCCATCCCCCATGCCCCGGCAGAAGGCCTGCCTGGTGCCCGAGGGGTGCTCAGCAGCCTGCTGTGAGGGCAGGGCAGGTGACAGAGTGCTCCCCCAAAGTGAGGAGGGCACTCGCTATGCCCCACGACACTGCCTCTGGCTCAGGTCTGCCCAGCTCTGGCCCTCACGGCCCTCCATGGGTGGCTTGGTAAGTCACCTTCCAGTCTGTTCTAACTGGTTTTCCATCTTGGGGGCAGCCAACCAGGTCATCAAGCGCATGAACTGGACAGTTCCAGAAGGTTCCATGCATGTGATCTGATCACAGCCTGGGAATTGTCAGGTGGGTTAGCATGGTGAGGCAGACGGTGACCCTCAAAGGAAGAATTCTGATCATTTCCCTGTATTTCTCTTTGTTAATATATTAAATCCCCCAAACATCATGCCCGCTGAGCTCCTGGGTATTTGGCTGTTGGGCTGTGTCTCATTTTGCTCAGCTAGGAGTGAGACTAATCGATAGGGTACTAGAGTTGCATTCACCAGTCTTGGCCTAGGGGTCACCGCATTTGGAAACTGGAGACCTGAGTTGAGTTACTTTCCTTACCTTTCTGAGGGCAAACCTAAGAGAAAGGATTTGTAGTACAGCAGTGCTCCCAGCAGGTGGCGCCGTGACAGGAAACCAGCCCAATCTGTCCCCTCCTTCCGACAAGCGCCCAGTGTCCACTGCAAGGCAAGTGTTGTATTTTTAGGGCGTTGCTACCAAAAGTGACCTCCGCAGGGCTTGCCTGTGACAGCTGGTTGAAGGAGCGAGGTCTGAGAAAACAGAAAACCGCTTTGCACATTCTACAGCTTGGGCGGCTGGCCCAGGTGAAAATGATTTTTCCTGTTTAGCTGTTGGCCTCAAGACCCAACTGCTAGGAACAGTGAATGCTGAGGGGGACCCTGACCACGGGGGCTCCACTCAGCGCCTTGGGTGGGA